TTGGTAATCTGTTAAGCTCAGCCAATATGGAGTTTAAATAAAATGAACTGATGCTTAGAGTTTAGGACAGAGGACAGATTTTTCATTTATTCATATGGACCAGAATTTGTGAAATCAATACAAAATGAAAAATCTAACAGAATTTTGAGAGGAAGTAAAAAATGAAACATTTTTTAGTTATTTTATAATTATCATCAGTTAAAGAAATGGACATCATAGATACCAAGTAGAATGAAAATTCCCTAGAAAATAACAGAATTCATGCATCTTCTCTGAAATAAATAGTTTATGCTATCCATATCAGTAGAGCTTTTGAAAATATTTTTTCATAGGAGAATATGCATTTTAAATTTTCCCTTTAAATGTTTGTGTTTTTGAAGTAAATAGGTAACTCAGGTGAAATAGTAAATAGGTGTCTCAGATGGAAAATCTTCCATATAGGTACAGTAAAATCTTAAATCAGCTCAGAAGCAAGTATAGTCTACAACACAGTACTTCAGCATGTATGTGACAGTAAGTATGCTAAAATGGGTTTATGTGTTAAAGCTATACAGATATAATCTTTAAGCAACTCACAGGGTCTTTGTTAACAGCCATGATATATGGCAAACTTGGTATGCTTAGCAGCAATCAGGAAGAGTGGGAATTATGTCCAATTTTATTGCCTAAATTGAGAATTCGTGTCTAACTGTTGATCAGAAAGTAAGTTTTCTATATATAGTAATATTATAAGCATAACTTAAAGCATTTTAAAAGATTTTTTTTAATTATTTCTTGCTTGTGTTTCTGCTTGTCATCCTTCCTTTTTCATAGTTTGCATAAAAGTGACTTTGTAGTTGAATAAAAATGCTAGTTGGTAATTCAGGAGCATTTAATGTAACACAAATAGTTACTACTGATTCTAATTTTAGGAAAGGAGATTTGTTGGATTTGGGAAAAATTTGAAGACTGGCAAACAGCGGTTAGATCATTGGTTCAAAAGAGGCTTCAATTTTCTGTAAACGAAATATAGTCCCACTCTAACAGTTAAGCTCATTGAAGTTATTTCCTTCTATAAAATGTCAGGGACATTAATATGTATGTTGTTCTGAAACTAATGCCTTCTATTTGTTTCCATGGAAACTACAATAGATACAGTGAGCACAATAAGAGTGTGTGATTGAACAAATTCTCAGCTACTGTACCCTGTCTTTCAAAACAGTCACCACTATTTGCTGAACATTTTCACCAGTGGTGAACAAGTGCCTGCATGCAGCACTCAGAAACATCTGCACCAGTGGAGGTTGACCCACTGTCACCACTGCTGAAATGCACCACTCACCAACTCACTGAGCTCACACACACTGTTTGGTCCCCAGAAACATTCAGCAAGTGTCAATAAATGTCAGTGGGTACCATTTTTTCCACACAAAGGAATTCAGTTATACACTTTTCCTTCATATGGACTTCCATGTCAGATGCCACTTTGTCAAATATCTGTCTGCTGCCATCTGTCACATGGCAGCAACATCTGAAAGAATATTGGTGGGAAGATTCAACCTCAACTGCCATATCACCAACACCTGCCTCTGATGTCACTGGCCAACACAGTGAAAGGATGCGCATTACTTCTGGAGCATCCCTCCTACGTTTACAGAGAGAATCACAAAGCAGTCAATAGCATGTAGCCCAAACATGGGCTGCATAAGGGGTAACAAAATATTACAGAGGGGAGGGCACAGTGCAGTGTTAACTGCCTCTTTCATCCATCCCACATGCTAAGTTGAATAAATACCCATGTACATTACATGTTATATGCACTTGTGCCACTTGGCGAGTAAAATACAGTGATTACAGACTGTAGTATTTCAAACTGTCTTTGCCCGTTTAAACATTGTCTTGTGACAGTCTGGAAGAAATATGCTGAATACTCGTGCTGACATACTATGATTTTCAGTATCTTTAAAAGCTCACAAAAAGCGTAAAGTAATTTGTGATGTTTTTAATTAGTTTTGTGATATATATTTGATTAGCAAGATCAGATATTCCACGAGTTTAATGTTTTTGTTGCTCTCTTTTAATAAAAAATAAAATAAAATAAAATAAAAGACAAAGTAAGTTTTGTTACTTAGTACATACATTAACTATATTTTATATGTGGCCCAAGACAATTCCTCTTCACTCAGCACAGCCCACGCAAGCCAAAAGGTTGGACACCTATGGTCTAGACAAACTGTTCTAGTACTTAACTGCTCTCATGAAGACATTTTTCCTTATGTCTGGTAAGAATTTCTCATATTGCAAGAAATGACCAATTGCCTCTTTTTCTTTCATTGTGCATCTCTCAGAAAGGTTTGACTTAATCTTCTCTGTAACCTTTAGATAGTGAAAGATAACAATTAAATTGCTTTTTTAGCTACCTTATCTTCAAGTTAAACAACCTAAGTTCTTTCAGGCTCTCCTCATATATCATGTATTGGGGATCCCCAATGATATTAGTGTCTGGACTCTTTTCAGTTTGTTGACATTTCTCTTTTACTGGTGATAGAAAAGAGGCAAAACTGGATGCCAGTGTAAAGCCAGCAACGTCAAACAGAGGGGAATAAGCACATCCTTCAGTCTGTCTGCAGTCTACCAGGCATTACTGTTGTGAGGGTGCACTGGTGATTGTTTTCAGCTTGCTGCCTACCAGGATTCAGGGGTCCTTTTTTTGCAAAGCAGCCGTCCCATTGATCTGCCTCTGGACTATAGTCATACGTAGGTTTTCATGTGTATTTTGTGATCTGTTGTGCTCCTATGTGTTTTCCTTGAACTTCAGGAGGTTCCTGTTAGCTATACTGTGTTTACTCAGGTTACTTTGAATAATCTTGCCACACTAATAGAAAAAAATCTGCAGTTAGGCTACTTATTTATATTTAATCTACAAAAGAAGCATCTCATAGCACTTGGAGTAATGGGAGACAACTGGAAAAAATGATTGAGCTGATAGCAAATAGTTTTAGGGGATAATCTGGGGGCATAGGAGTTGTTTGATGAGATGGCCATTTTGAATCCATGTAAGGTTTTGAAGGGGGTTTATAGCTGTTGGAAATTGTGTAGAATAAGAATGAGAGATTAGCTGAAATGGTTAGATGAGAATGAAATGAGTAGGAAGGACTGAGGTAGAAGAAGTGAAGAAAGTGTTAGATTTCAGGGGCTGCAAATAAATAGCGTGAGACTGAAGGGGTAGGCTCTCGAGCAGGTGGTCAGAGACTAGGGTTCCTAAAATGGTAGTGAGGTAAGAAATAGAAGGTAATAGTGTTTATAGACACTGAGGTTGGACTCACTGAAGAGTTATGGTAAGATGCAGTGGAGACTGGATTTTTCCCATGACCGCAAAGTGAAGGTAAGTTATTGTGGTGATATTGAATAGCGCTTTCCAAACAGACATCCTATGCATCAGTGCTTATTACAGAAAGGACAGGTGTGTGATTCAGGCTTGGTATACCTTTATATAGTAGTACGTCAAGGAGGTTGATGGGGCAGAGCAGGTGGCCTTTTGCTAACTTCAGTCATATTTTGCTTGCTAATGAGGATGGAAGGTGCTATCCCATGCTTTACCCAAGTATCCAGTCATTAATTGGAAACCACTGTTGTACCGCATACATTAAGAAAAAAAAATTGTATTTCCTGTGAGCTTTGCACTGAATTTTCCTTAAGAACATTACCAGTTGTTGGTCATATTTCTGTACATGTAGGAAAAAAAAAAATGCAAAAAGTGTTTTATACTGGGTTTTAAAACCTTCGATGCACCGTTTAGGGACTAGGTTATTGGTTTGGGGGACTTTTTTGTATTCTTAGTATCATTTGCAGCCTTTTGTATATAGAATTCTATACAACATCAGTCATTCAAATTATTGTTATAGCAGGTTTTCCTCTTACAAATAGAAATTGAAGCATCTTCTTTTGTACTTTCTTCAGAAGATTGTTGTCTATCTGCTATACAAAGAATCTCCTTTAGAAGCTGAATTACACACTACCTGAAGTATACCCCTTCTCTGAAATCCCTGTTTTATGTAGACAAACAAAGAAAAAAAAATCAGTTACTTTGCAGTTTTGTATTATGGAGTTGTTAACTACATTTTAGTCTTGCAATTTATTAATTTTGTCCATAATGCTTGAATAATACCAGTATACATTTGTTGAAGTTGCCAGGAAATTTATTATCCAACCATTAGCACAATTCTGCACCTATCAAAGACTCTCAGAAATATATGCTAGCTTCTGTGATATACTGTATGTTAATTTGTGGTTGAATACTGAGTATTTTTTTAATACTGAGTATTTTTTTAATTTTATATAATGAACAAAACAAATCACTGCCTTTATTTAGCAAATTTTATCATTTCTTTCTTTCACCCTTATTTTTTGCACGTACAAAATGTACGTCTGTACATTTTTTAATATTTCTATTTTTTTTATTTTCTATTAAAAATATTTCTATTTTTAATATTTCTAAGATTTTACTTTAAGCTGCAACTACTGAAGTATTAGTGGACCAATATTTTCTATCTAACCCTCTGTTCTTTCATACATAGATTTTAGTCTGTATGCAAATTTTCCCTTTTTTTCCATTACATATCTTACAGTTTTACTTTTTTCCTATTTTAAGGCCCATGTGAGTATTACAATTATGCACATAACTTTTTTACTATTTTTTTCAGTTTACACAGGGAAATGTTAAATTTGTAATGTTTTGTGAAAATCCAAAGGAGATTACACAGTTCTCTACAGCCAAATAAAAATATTACTGTCAATGAGAAATAGTCTCAACGTAAGTTCTTTTAAGTGGCAAGTGTATGCTATTTGTATAAATCTTGCTGAAAGGACTCATAGTAGTTCCTGATAGTATATTAATAACTTAGGAGGCATTTTTGTTATTTCATTTTTACTCCTGATTTGTTAAAGACTTTGTTATCTCTAACAAGAACAAAAATAGGAAATGCTCTATTATACTAAAATGTATTTGTGTTTATTCCTAGAAAATATTTTTTTGAGAAGAAATGGCATCCAGCATTGGAAATGAAAAGAGTGTGAATCCTGTGCTCAGAATAAGTCAACTTGATGCTCTTGAACTAAACAAAGCCTTAGAACAACTAGTGTGGTCCCAGTTTACCAGCTGTTTTCATGGATTTAAACCAGGGGTGTTGGCTCATATTGAACCAGAAGTTAAAGCATTTCTGTGGGTTTTACTGTGGAGATTCACCATCTATTCTAAGAATGCAACTGTGGGACAGGCTATTTTGAATATTCAGTACAAGAATAACTTATCTCAGACAGAGAAATACCAACCTCTGAGCAAACACCAGAAGTTAGGGTATCTTATTTTCACTGTTGGTGGAAGATGGCTGGAGGAAAGATGTTACGATTTCTTTAGCAATCGCCAACTGCAATCCGTCAGCAAAATCAAGCAATATATTAACTTTGGAGCCGGACTTCTTAAAATTTGTGGACTTGTAAATTTTCTGATTTTTCTTCAGAAAGGAACATTTGCAACACTTACGGAACGCATTCTAGGAATTAAGTCAGTTTTTTGCAAGCCACAAACTGTTCGCCAGGTAGGATTTGAATACATGAACAGGGAGCTGTTGTGGCATGGCTTTGCTGAATTTCTGATCTACTTGCTACCACTTATTAATGTACAGAAACTGAAACTCAAAATTTGTTCTTGGTGTTTGCCTATTGCCAATCTTTCTAATAGTGAAAAGACATTAGCAGCTCACTACAAGGTGTGTTCTCTGTGTGGAGAATGGCCTACCATGCCACATACCATAGGCTGTTCACATGTTTTTTGTTACTATTGTATTAAAAGTAACTATTTATTTGATATGTATTTTACCTGTCCTAAGTGTGGCTCAGAGGTGCACAGTCTTCAGCCACTGAAATATAAAATTGAAATGACAGAATTACATGTCTAATAAGGAGGTTGTTCTGTTCTTGTACTGTACATGAAATATATTAAAGATGAATGGAAAAAAAAACAGAAATTACTGTAAACAGACAGCTTGAAAGACAGCTTTGGAAATTCTTTAAGTCTTTTCTGGTGTTATTTTTTTACTGAGTAACAGTGCCAACTTGCATCTCTGAAGAAAGGAAAACAAAGGATTCACAGGTTCTTATACTTTCTCAGACTACTGGATCCCATTTTGGTACCCCTATGTTGTCAGTACTCTGCTTAGATCCATGGTCTGGCAATCTACCATTTCCTAAGTTTATGCTGTATTCTTCCCTTAGGGATAGATGAGAAGATACTCAATCCACTTTGTGGATTTTCTCAGCATTGTTGTAAAAGTTTCTGCTATTGCCAACTTAGCTGTATGGATTTTGTGCAGAGATCATCCTAGTCACACCTAAAGAACAGTTTTAAATTTGAATTCACAGTGTAATGTACCACTGAAAAAGAGCAAGGTATAAGATGAAGTTGTTCGTCAAATGATTGTTAATAGCTTTCATTGCATTCAGTCACGACAAGGATATTCTTTTTCTAACTTGTAATTGCTTTCTTATAAATAGATCATTAGCTTCAAGTGATCCATTTGTCAACAGACAAAACAGTAACTTGTGCCCACAAGAGATACAACCATCTCCTGATCATAGTGCTCCTTCTACATCTTCATGAGGTAACAGAACCTGTTTTCTCACCTATATGTATGCCTTTGATCATCAGTAATGCACATATGACCACACCCTGCTTTTCTGTCAAGCTGAGGGATCCAGTCCATCACCTATTGGAACGTGGAAGCTTCCTGTGGTAACCCACATTATTCTTAATCACACACACTGTAGGGAAAAAAAAAAAACAAAACAGAAAAAAACTGTTTAATTACAAGATGCTGTCTTTGGGACTTGCAATTCTTTCTTTGGTGTGGTCAGGCTAGGTGCCAAACCTCACTAACAGCTATGTACCACAGAGAAAATAGATCAAGCCCAGATGTGTGTGTGTAGACATACTAAAAAGATAGGTAACTGTTTCTGTTTTGGAGTTAGTACTATTTGTTTTCTCTGTTGGCTTCATGATATTTTTATTCTCTTTTTAAGGTTTCATCTATTTACTCTCTTTTTGTTTGCTTTTTCAAATTTGCAGTCCTTTCTTAACAGAAATCTTTATCCAGAAGTATGTCATTAACACAAAAACACATTTTGTCCTGCTTTGGCTCTTAGAATTTGTAACTGAAGCAAAATAATGATATTAATAAAAATGCTGGAAAACTTTTCATATGTTTTGGTTTGATTGAGAATTAATTATTCTGTGTTTTTGAAGACATTTAGATTAAAGGAGTTGCAGAATGCTGATTCCCAGTTTCCACTAACCACCACTCTGTACTCCGTATGCGTAAAAGAGATCTTGTCTTAAGTAGTGTTATGGAAGACCTGAAAGCAGGAGTTCCAGTGTTCTGCAAAAGAAATTACAGATCTAGTATCTGATTTCTGTATTACCTGGAAATGTCTATTTATTTTTCAATAAACGTAAGCTCTTATGGAGGAGGGTAATTTGGACAAAATGGTGAAAATAAGACGTTAAGAAGGACAGGGCAAATACAGTCCAAACTGAGGGATATCCTTATTTGAGACTGGAATTACTACTGTTGTCTGGGATGCATCATTCTTAGAAAAACCAAGTTAGCCAATAAAAGATGCTTCTTAAGAGTAGGTTCTGAAGTTTGCTTTTATAACTATCTTTTTTTTTTTTTTTATCTTATGACATATTTTTTGTTTGATTGGGGTGGTTTTTTGTTTATTTAATCTTTTGAATGCTAGAGGCTACTTATCATACTATTTGATAGTTCGGCCCTCAGGCCATTTCATGTTTTGGCATTTATGAGACCAAAATGCAAAGTGGGAAACAAGTTTATAGTTACTATTCATTTTTAAAAGTCTCTAGCAATACATTGGCAACTTTTCCACCTTTCTGTGTGTTCTCTTGTCTTGCCCTAGGAAAAAAATACTGATGCATGGCTGCACACACAGAATAAGAGGCATATACTTGCAGCCATGTTAGATATTAAAGCTGATGATCATTTGCTTACAACTGAAATCCCAGAGGGAAGTTTTAAAATGATGCTTCATACCTTTTCAATGCCAACATCTTGTTCATTTCCAGATATAATTGATTAAGGAGATCACAGCTCCTTTCCTTTAGCATCTCAGGAAGCTTTTCCATGTTGTCATTTAAATGCCCACTTAAAAATCTTCCTGCAGTCTTAATGGCATAGGTCCCCCCTCATTCCAGGGGAACCTACTTCCAAGGCAGAATCCAACTAAAGCCTGACAAAGTCATTGAACAGACCAAAAGTTTGTTTGGGGATTCCAATAAGCCTGGCATACTGGACCAGAGGATTGCGAAAACATATGCAAAGTTATCTGCCAAGGCCAAGCAGTGTCCATTCCATTCCCTGGAGCACACCTTGGGTTTTGTATCTCTGCTTAAAATGTCTGTTAATGCTAACTGCACACAAACCTGGTCTGGGTAGTAGGTGTAGGCAGATTTGTTTTGCAATAGTTGTTACAGGTAGATGTTAGAAGTAGTTTTTAGTACAAAATCCTCAGTTGCACATCTCTAGGCACAGGTCTACTTGGAGAACTGAATGATACAATGTACAATAAAGTTGGCTGGAGTATCAGCATTTATCTCAAATAATTGGTACACTTTCAAGAAGATATTTCAAGGAGCAGAAGGCTGTTCGTCTGCAATCTGCATTATGCTTTATTTTAAGAGATATAAAAAGTAACTAACTACATAAAGACATTGGAGTGGCCCAGAGGAGAGATTGACTCTTCCTTTCTGCCATTAGCCGTATTTACTACAACTGTTTGTCTAATCTTTGACTGCAAGACTCTTAAATTTGATTAAAATGGCTGAAGAATTCCATCATATCCACTAGGTTTAGGCAGTTTCAACTTGTTTAGAGATCTTACCAAATAATCTCCAGGACACATTCTACAAATGAAATAGATGCAACCTTGCATCTCCAAATAGTCTGTGAAGTTGGGAAGGATTCATCTGAAGCATTAACTGGCAAAGATCCTTCCCTCAGATATACTGCCTTAATGGAGAAAAATGTGACAGCTTAGAGGTTCTGTAGAAGTCTTCAGGTAAATATGTCTGACTCCCTAACATGATTGCTAGTCTGCCTCTGTAGTTCACAAACCATAGAATCACAGAATTATAGAATCATAGAATAGCCTGGGTTGAAAAGGACCACAGTGATCATCAAATTTCAACCCCCCTGCTATGTGCAGGGTCACCAACCACCAGACCAGGCTGCCCAGAACCACATTCAGCCTGGCCTTGAATGCCTCCAGGGATGGGGCATCCACAACCTCCTTGGGCAACCTGTTCCAGTGCATCACCGCCTTCGTGTGAAAAACTTCCTCCTAATATCTAACATAAACCTCTCCTGTCTCAGCTTAAGACCATTCCCCCTTGTCCTATCACAGTCCACCTTTGTAAATAGCCATTTCCCCTCCAGTTTATATGGTCCCTTCAAGTACCAGAAGGCTGCAAAGAGGTCTCCCCGGAGCCTTCTCCAAGCTAAACAAGCCCAGTTCCTTCAACCTTTTCTTATAGGAGAGGTGCTCCAGCCCTCTGATCATCTTAGTGGTCCTTCTCTGGACCCGCTCCAAGAACTCCACATCCTTCCTGTACTGGGAACCCCAGGCCTGGACACAGTACTCTAGATGGGGTCTCACAAGAGCCAAGTAGAGGAGGACAAATCTCCCTCTCCCTGCTGGCCACCCCTTTTTTAATGCAGCCCAGAACACAGTTGGCCTTCCGGGCTGCAAGCACACGCTGCTGGCTCATGTCCAGCTTCTCGTCCACCAGGACCCCCAAGTTCTTCTCCGCAGGGCTGCTCTCAAGGAGATCTTCCCCCAGTTTGTATAAATACCTGGGATTGCCCTGACCCATGTGCAGCACCCTGCACTTGGTCTTATTGAATCTCATTAGGTTTTTCATAGCCCCATTTCTCCAGACTGCCCAGGTCCCTCTGGATGGCTTCCCTTCCTTCCAGTGTACTGACTGCACCGCTCAGCTTGGTGTCATCTGCAAACCTGCTGAGAGTTCACTCAATGCCATTGTCCATGTCATTGATGAAGATGTTGAAGAGCACCGCTCCCAAGACTGACCCCTGAGGGATGCTGCTTGTGACCAGCCTTCACCCTGACACAGAACCATTGATCACAAGCCTTTGGCTGCAACCAGCGAGCCAATTCCTAATCCATCAAACAGTTCATCCTTCAAATCCACACCTTCCCAATTTAGAGAGAAGGATGTGGTGAGGGACCATGTCAGAGGCCTTGCAGAAGTCCAGGTAGATGATATCCACCTCCCTATCCCTGTCCGCCAAAGCTGTTACTCTATCATAGAAGGCCACCAGACTGGTCAAGCAAGATCTGCCCTTGGTGAAGCCATGCTGGCTATCTCAAATCACCTCTTTATCTCGTATGTGCCTTAACATAGCTTCTAGGAGGATCTGCTCCATGATCTTCCCAGGCATAGAGGTGAGGCTCACCAGCCTGTAGTTCCCCGGGTCTTCCTTTCTGCCTTTCTTAAAAATGGGAGTGACGTTTCCCTTTTTCCAGTCACCAGGGACTTCACCAGACAGCCGTGATTTTTCAAATATGATGAGAGCAGCTCAGCAACTACGTAAGTTATCTTTTTCAGAACCCTAGGATGGATATCATCTGGCCCCACTGACTTATACACATTCAATTTCTTGAGGAGGACTCAGACTTGTTCCACTGTTACAGTGGGACAGAAACCACTCCCCACAGCTCCTCACACCCTCACCTAAAGACTCACAGTTCTGTCAGACACGGGAAGCCTAACCACCCATGAAGACTGAGGCAAAGCACTCACTGAGTACCTCAGCTTTTTCTATGTCTGAGGAAGCCAGCTCCCCACTACCTTTCATCACAGGGGGAACACCCTCCTTGGCTGTCTCTTTATGTACCTGTAGAACCCCTTCTTGCTATCTTTCACATCCCTCACCAAGTTCAGCTTCATCTGCACCTTGGCTTTCCTAATCCTATCTCTACACGCACAGACAACAGCCCTGTATTCCTCCCAGAATACACAACCCTGCTTTCACTTTCTGTACATTTCCCTCTTTTCTCTCAGTTCAAGCTTCAGGTCCTTGCATAGCCATGATGGTTGCCTGCCTCCCCTGCTCGACTTCTGCTGGGGGATACATAAAGACAAGATGTGAAAAGGATCTGGTGTTTATGCCAAGACAAGGCAAACTCTAGGGCTGGGAGAGTAGAAGGGTGCCTGTTACAACAAAGACAGTAGTGTTTGTGATGTTTTTTTCTCTTACATTGGATTTTGTACTGGTTTTAAAACTCATGCTACCTGAAAACAGGTTTACTACTGGTTACGTGATTACTGTGAGGGAATCTTTTCCTACAACTCTGATTTTGAAAATTTCTTGGCAGTTATATGTGGTGTGATAAGTGACAACAGTGCAGTTGTCATTCTGGATAATGGTACTGAACCTGTCCCTGGAAAGCTCCATCTTTTAGATGCACCAAACCCAACAGGAGTTGAACATCTGACTGAACATACTATGGAAAACTCAGTTATCTGGATAAAAATGCATGGCCCATTTAAAAAAAAAAAAGGCACAAGGCCGCATTCGTGGCACAAACACAGCAGCTAATCAAGCTTTTTTGAAGTTGCTTTTGCATCAATGAAGAGAAGATGCCAAGTACTGTCTGTACTCAAGTAGGCAAGAGTTTCTCATATGAGTGACTACCACAGCCATATCTAAAAAAAACAGTTAATTAGCAAAAGCCCATGTAATGTAGACATAATGTTTATTGATAACCACTAACTTCAGGCGCCTTTGGTAAAGGATCCTACCAAAGACAGTGGATCCTGTGAATTGCTTCACATAATAAGGTCAATTGGTTTAAAGTATGTTTCAAAGACAGATTCAGAAAGCTAATAATTACCATTACTTCAGGATAGCATTCATAATGCTAACAAACCATCCCTAATATGTTCAATATTATTCAAAATATTAGAGCCAGACTAAAGGCAGTGAGAGGTATTGGACACAGGAATCAAAGATCTACAGAACTGTGGCATTAGGATAAATGAGGATACCAAAGAGGGCATTTTACATGTGAAAGCTTTTGCTGTCACTGCTGTCAATTGCACATACATAATGGTTCCATGTAGTAGTAGAATTTCCCCTACAAAACCAATCTTTGA